GTGGAGGACCGGGGTGACGGCACCTACCACGTGGAGTACACGCCCTACGAGGAGGGTGAGCGCGCCCGGCGTGCCGGAGGGATTTCGGGGGATTTAGAGAGATATTAGGAGATTTTTGGGAAATTTGGAGGGATTTCGGGGGATTTGCAGAGATATTGGGAGATTTTGGGGAAATTTGGAGGGATTTCAGGGGATTTGCAGAGATATTGGGAGATTTTTTGGAAATTTGGAGGGATTTCGGGGGATTTGCAGAGATATTGGGAGATTTTTGGGAAATTTGGAGGGATTTCGGGGGATTTGCAGAGATATTAGGAGATTTTTGGGAAATTTGGAGGGATTTCGGGGGATTTGCAGAGATATTGGGAGATTTTGGGGAAAATTTGGAGGGATTTCGGGGGATTTGCAGAGATATTGGGAGATTTTTAGGAAATTTGGAGGGATTTCGGGGGATTTGCAGAGATATTGGGAGATTTTTGGGAAATTTGGAGGGATTTTGGGGGATTTGCAGAGATATTGGGAGATTTTTGGGAAATTTGGAGGGATTTTGGGGGATTTGCAGAGATATTGGGAGATTTTTGGGAAATTTGAAGGGATTTTGGGGGATTTGCAGAGATTTTGGGAGATTTTTGGGAAATTTGGAGGGATTTTGGGGGATTTGCAGAGATATTGGGAGATTTGGGGGAAAATTTGGAGGATTTTGGGGGATTTGCAGAGATATTGGGAGATTTTTGGGAAATTTGGAGGGATTTCGGGGGATTTGCAGAGATTTTGGGAGATTTTTGGGAAATTTGGAGGGATTTTGGGGGATTTAGAGAGATATTGGGAGATTTTTGGGAAATTTGGAGGGATTTCGGGGGATTTGCAGAGATATTGGGAGATTTTGGGGAAAATTTGGAGGATTTTGGGGGATTTGCAGAGATATTGGGAGATTTTTTGGAAATTTGGAGGGATTTTGGGGGATTTGCAGAGATATTGGGAGATTTTGGGGAAATTTGGAGGGATTTCAGGGGATTTGCAGAGATATTGGGAGATTTTGGGGAAATTTGGAGGGATTTTGGGGGATTTGCAGAGATATTGGGAGATTTTGGGGAAATTTGGAGGGATTTTGGGGGATTTGCAGAGATTTTGGGAGATTTTTGGGAAATTTGGAGGATTTCGGGGGATTTGCAGAGATTTTGGGAGATTTTGGGGAAATTTGGAGGGATTTTGGGGGATTTGCAGAGATATTGGGAGATTTTGGGGGAAATTTGGAGGGATTTCGGGGGATTTGCAGAGAAATTGGGAGATTTGGGGAAAATTTGGAGGGATTTCGGGAGATTTTGGGGAAATTTGGAGGGATTTCGGGGGATTTGCAGAGATATTGGGGGATTTTTGGGAAATTTGAAGGGATTTCCGGGGATTTGCAGAGATATTGGGAGATTTTGGGGAAATTTGGAGGGATTTTGGGGGATTTGCAGAGATATTGGGAGATTTTTGGGAAATTTGGAGGGATTTTGCAGGAATTTTAGGTGATCTTGAGGGATTTTTGGGTTATTCTGGAGAATTTTGGAGGCTTGGGGGGCATTTTGAGGTTTTTGGGATATTCTGAAGGATTTTGAAAGTTTTTTTGGGGGGATTATCAGGGATTCCCAGTGGATTTAGAGGGATTTTGGTGGATTTGGGATGATTTTGTAGCATTTTGGGGGGGATTTTGGAACATTTTGGGGTCTTTGGTGGAATTTTAAGGGATTTTAAGAGGCTTGGGGTGCGTTTTATGGCTTTGCGGGGTTTTGAGGGATTTGGGGGGATTTTTGGACCACTTGAGGGATTTTGGTGGATTTTGAAGGGGTTCTGCGGGGTTTTTGGGGGATTTTGGGGGGGTTTGGGGTGACCCGTGTCCCCCCAGGCCTGCACAAGGTGGACGTGAGCTACGGGGGGTCCCCGGTGCCGCTGAGCCCGTTCCGCGTCCCCGTCACCGAGGGCTGCGACCCCGGGCGGGTGCGGGTGCACGGCCCCGGCATCCAGAGCGGCACCACCAACCAACCCAACAAATTCACCGTGGAGACCCGGTGAGAGCCCGAGCCCGCGGGAATCCCCAAAATCCCGATGGGAATTCCCAAAATCCCGACGGGAATCACCAAAATCCTGATGGGAATCATCAAAATCCTGATGGGAATCCCCAAAATCCCGACGGGAATCACCAAAATCCTGATGGGAATCACCAAAATCCTGATGGGAATCACCAAAATCCTGATGGGAATCCCCAGAATCCTGATGGGAATCACCAAAATCCTGACGGGAATCACCAAAATCCCAACGGGAATCCCCAAAATCATGAGTGGAATCCCCAAAATCCCGACGGGAATCCCCAAAATCCCGACGGGAATCATCAAAATCCTGATGGGAATCCCCAAAATCCTGACGGGAATCACCAAAATCCTGACGGGAATCACCAAAATCCTGATGGGAATCACCAAAATCCTGATGGGAATCACCAAAATCCTGATGGGAATCCCCAAAATCCCGACAGGAATTCCCAAAATCCTGATGGGAATCACCAAAATCCTGATGGGAATCACCAAAATCCTGATGGGAATCCCCAAAATCCTGATGGGAATCCCCAAAATCCCGATGGGAATTCCCAAAATCCTGATGGGAATCACCAAAATCCCGATGGGAATCACCAAAATCCCGATGGGAATTCCCAAAATCCTGATGGGAATCACCAAAATCCTGACAGGAATCCCCAAAATCCTGACAGGAATCCCCAAAATCCTGATGGGAATCCCCAGAATCCTGACGGGAATCCCCAAAATCCTGATGGGAATCCCCAGAATCCTGATGGGAATCACCAAAATCCTGATGGGAATCACCAAAATCCCGATGGGAATCCCCAAAATCCTGAAGGGAATCACCAAAATCCTGATGGGAATCACCAAAATCCTGATGGGAATCACCAAAATCCCGACGGGAATCACGAAAATCCTGACGGGAATCCCCAAAATCCTGACGGGAATCCCCAAAATCCTGATGGGAATCACCAAAATCCTGATGGGAATTCCCAAAATCCTGACGGGAATCACCAAAATCCTGATGGGAATCACCAAAATCCCGACAGGAATCCCCAAAATCCTGATGGGAATCCCCAGAATCCTGACGGGAATCCCCAAAATCCTGAAGGGAATCCCCAAAATCCTGATAGGAATCACCAAAATCCTGACAGGAATCACCAAAATCCCAACGGGAATCCCCAAAATCATGAGTGGAATCCCCAAAATCCCAACGGGAATCCCCACAATCCTGATGGGAATCACCAAAATCCTGATGGGAATCCCCAAAATCCCAACGGGAATCCCCAAAATCCCGACAGGAATTCCCAAAATCCCAGCAGGAATCCCCAAAATCCTGATGGGAATCACCAAAATCCCAACGGGAATCCCCAAAATCCCAACGGGAATCCCCAAAATCCCATTTTCCCCCCAAGTCTCCCCCCTCACAACCCCAAATCTCCCCCGGCTATGACCCCAAATCCCATTTTCCCTCCATCCTGTGACCCCAAATCCCATTTTCCCCCAAATCTCTCCCTCTCATGACCCCAAATCCCATTTCTCCCCAAATCTCCCCCTTCCATGACCCCAAATTCCATTTCCCCCCAAACCTC